CTTCCCACCAAAGTGGTTCATATTTTTCTACTTGCATTTTTACATGCTTTTGAACTGCTAGGTTGGCAGAAGCTGGGACAAGTAACAGGAATTCACTCTGTTACACGGTGCTAGGAATTCGAACCACAGAACTGCTGACCTTTCTGATTGACAAGATCAGCATCTTAGTACTGAGCCACAGCGTTCCTTCATGTTCTATAGAGAATATTAAAAACAGCATCTAGGTGCATTTTTGAAAAAAAATTGATAATACTTTTCAAATATCTGTTTTACATGTTCTATTCAGTAGGATGGGGATAGAACAGAATTATGGAACCAGAATAAAACTGTGCATCAAACACACACTGAAAATTTACGATGCAGGTTTTTAAGCTGAAATAACAATAAAAATAAAGCCAATAATTTAGGAAAAAAATAAAGTGTCTAGAATTCATACATTTTGCAGCCTATTGAATTAAGGGCTACAATTTTCCAAAACTGTAGGACTTTGGGTAAGAGCACTCTATTTCCATTCTCTGCCCCATAGTGAGGAAGTTGCCATAGTGATGAACCACTAAACTATGGGTAGCAAGTTCTCTGTAGTCTTAGCTTAATGCAGAGTATGAATATACACTCTATGTACACATTACAACTGAATGTAATCTACAGAAATGGATTAATATGAAATTAGTGCAGAATAAAGATAACACAGCATGAGTAATGTTAGTAAAATTGACATGGATATTTACCTTTGGATGATGAACTATAAGTCTCTTGTTCTTCAATGAATAAAATGCACGGAATGATGGGAATAAAAGAAAGAAATCAGCAATTTAAAGTTAGACAAAAATGGCGTTATACATGAGAATGAGAAACACTACAGGCTCTGTTGCAACATGCAGAAAAGTAATGTGGGGAAACAGATGAAAATAAATCATGAAAAGTTATAAATTCTGAGATCAATACGAAAGTAAACATGCTCAAGCTCACTGAAATTAATTGTCTTCAGTATTTTTAATACTCTGCTGGAACATGGCCTGGAATATGAATTTTACAAGTTCCAAAGTTTAAACATCATTCAAAAGCTGCATTTGATGTGATAAGCCCATAAGAATTGCTGTTTCAAATGTTTATGAATGTGAATCTGTCCATTTTTTCAACATCATTTATCATTTAAGACTTCCACACATTAAAATAAAACAAAATGCAGTCTTATCATACACTACACAGGTATTCCTTTTAATACATTCAGATTAGAATGCAACATATTGTACTTTAATTAGATCTGCCTTGCTTTCAAGTGATGGTATTAAAAATAACAGATGAACAAAGTGTGGGGGAAAGTTTCCATTTTAAAAATGGAATAGCAAAATCATACACACAAAACCAATAATATGTTAATATTCCATTAACAAATTTAAAAAACTGATAGATATTAAGTTAAGACTTTTCAATGAGCTATTATTATATAATATTCTCCCATCAATTTTTAATATATTTGAATAAGAAATGTCTTTTCTCTATGGAGTCACAATTTACTACTTAAAGATATATTGTATGTCTGAGTAAAACTAAGTATGCTTTCTATAAGACAATACTTCAATGGAATTTTTATGCAAGATTTAAGAGGCATTTTAAACAAAGTATAATAAGCTATTCTAATATATATTATCAAATACTGATATAGTACTTATCATAACATAATGTTAAATACTGCAGAATCAAACATTGTCCTAAAGTCCTAGGCACTGATAATATTACCTAGGTAATTAATAAAAGACTGTAAGCAAACAAACAACCTCAGAGAGCACTAAGGACTTTCCATTGTCTTAAGGATATAACAATTCTAGGTTTTGTCTTTTGCTTTTGAACCCGAATAAACTATTCTTAAATTATAAATGAGCAGAATACCACAAAAATATACATACACATGAAGTTTTAGCGTAAAATATACACAGACAGAATGCGCATATTCACACTCGAGATATGTCTTTTTGGTAACCAGTTGTCTAATAGATGGGTATTCTTTATTAAATCAAACAATATTCAATTCTGAAAAATGAAAAAAAATGACACCATTGGCCTCTTAAAAGAAGCCAACATCATGTCTTGATGATTTAAAAATATACATTTTTAAAAAGCTACTATTTGCAAATCAGAACATATTAATGCTTTTTTAAAAGATGTACTATCTATTGCAAACCATGACTGTCTCTCAAGCCTATGTGTCATGTATTTTTTACAGATGCTGCAATTAAGCAAGGTATATTAAATAAAAGTTTAGGCATAAGAAATAATACAATTCCCTCATCAGCACATTTTCACTTGGAAGTTCAGAAATAAAGATGAAACCCAGCCTGCAACATTACTTAGTTAAAAAAAAGACAACCCTGCGTTTTCAGGGGAAAAAAATCTATTCTAAATCCTGCAAAGACCAAATGTTTGCAGGTCTGAAATGACATAGAATATGACAGTCCTAATTCTTCTCTTGCTGGCACATGATCTTCTGCAACAAAACATTTTTCCTCTTTTTGCAGAACAAAACTATCTGCTTTGATGAAGAGTGTCAATTCATGCATGGTGAACATGTTTTCAGTTTTTTTAATAGAAAAGACTGCATTACATCAAATGTTACGATAATGCATTATCCACACAGACAACTGAAAATTCAACATACATTTTTAATTAGATCCAATCATTTTAGAGAAAAGTGGCACATTTGAAATGCCATAATAAGACATTGGCTGTCTTCCAAACATGATACTGACAACCCTATTCCACTAAAATTAATGAAATTTCTAAACTGGCATATATATCACAATTATAGCCACCATTAATCAACAGATTCACAATAACTAGGAAATCAACAAAAGCAAATCACATAATCTGTATTTTTGTAATTTCATATTTTCATTGGATCTGTTTTTCTGTTATCAGCTATACATTGTATCCTCTGTTTTTTTATTATTATTTTTGTAAGCATTTTCATACACTTGCTATTGTTTCCCAGAATACAGAAATATTTCAATATGCTACAGGCAAATAAAGACAAATGCTGTACAGAATAATTTGTTAAATTCTACTACAATTTTACTGTTTGCAAGAAAAGTATGCATTATCATCTATGAATTATCATACTGTACATTTCTTACTCTACTATCAAGTTCTCTTCCTACTGACGCATGTTCCATATACTCCAGAGTGCAAAAATGGCTGATCTATTTTGCTCCTATCCCATTTGTAAAAACAGCACACATTCCAAATTATAGAAATCAAATTCTATTCATTGTTAAGAGTTAACTAGTTAAAAGTTAGTTCTGTTCCAAGAAGCAATCTCTTTGTAAAATAACCAAAGTCACATTATCGTCCGCTTTACATTTGCAACTGGACAAGAATACTACATGGCAGAACTTGGGCAAAATTCTCAAGTAAAAACATTTTTCAAGCCATCCAAGGTACACATTTTAAAACTGTATTTCTTTATTACATTTAAAGTGACAGCATTGAAGAAGGTGCAAAAAAAAAAAAAAAGGGAAACGTACTAGGCAGATATAAGGACTCACCCTGAATGCCAGCTATGCAGATATGGCACCTTTTAATATAATAAATTGATTAGTGCTTTCAGAAACTAACCAGAAAAAAAAAATCTAGATTCACATTAATTTTTTACCAATGTGAAGAATAACAAATCGTCCTTGAGAACAAGAGAAATTCAGTGTGCCGAAGTGTAAGAGCAATCATGTTAGGAAGCCTTCCCCCCGCCCCCCTATTTTATTAAAATTGCTCAAATCTTTCACTCTTAATAGTTTGACTGATTCCCAATCAACAAAATCCTGTAAGCATAAATTTGATGACAGAATATTTGTAAGAAGAAATTGCATGGACAATTGCCACTTAGGAAATGTTTTTTCACAATATAAATTGTATAACACATAGTATATATGTAGGATCTTACACTAAGAGAAAAAATATATATATATGAATGCCAACAACAACAAAAAATCCCCTTTCCTCCTAGAAAAATGGGAGATGGAAATTGGCACAATATCATGTTTTGATACTCTAAAGAAGCACAAGTGGATGAACAAAGAACTGTATTAATAAAACCATACCGTTTATTTTTTTAAAAAGAGATCTTAAACAATAACAATACAAGTTAGGAGGCACATCTACCAAAATCCTAAAATAAAATGACCAGTTGATAGGAAACCACGTATTGATCTGGTGCATATTGCATTTTATAATTCTTCAATGAGGTCTCCATTTTTCATTAGGAAACTCAATTCACATATTATAAATATCGGCAAAACATGGATATATAAATATTATTATTTTCTAAAAAGATACTAGGATACTAATATAATGTACAGAAGGAAAAATCTTAAAGCTGTTATTTTTTCAGTTATGAAACACATAATGCAAAAATTTTTATGAATGCCTTGTACGTGATTTTTAATTCAAACCTAACAGTTGTGGATTTTCACAAGAAATTTATGTATTTTTGTAATTCAGTAATTATGTTGTTATTATGGACTAGTGGACAACACTCTTTCTTTCAACATCCAGCCTTCTAAACTACAGTTCCCTTATGTTCCTTTGTGTTTCATCCAGTAAAACATTTTCCCCATATTTTCATTGGATTTTGACATGCTCAGAAAGGGATTTCATTAGCCTTGTTCACATTCGTGTCAGCAAATTGCCATTAATTAGCTTCAGCTAACAAAACAAAATTTCAAGATGTGTCAATAATTAGAATGAGGATCTCCAACTATCTTGGGGAGAAAATAAAGAGTAAATGAACACACAAATAATTGATATGTATCTTCACAAATAAAACATGAGCCTTTTTATCACCCATACAATTCACAATATATGTTTTAATATTTTCCTATTTTATCAATGAAAACCAATAAAAACCTGAAGAGTCTATAAAGCAAGATCTAAGATGTTTTTGAAAAACAAGAGAAAGGAAGAGGAAAACAGAGCTAAGACTTTCAAACTATAAACTAGTTTTTTGATACCTTGCTCTGTACTGCCACTCCTGGTGGGAACTTGTGGAAGCTGTCTCCCCTTACGGCTGAAGGATGTATCTGCTGGAGATGACTGCATGGGACTTCCCGGTTGGCGCATTCTGCACCAAAAAAAATTAACATTAAATACGGTGGTTCTCACGTACAACCAAATCAATGAGATATTAGAAATACAAAATATGTTAAAATATCAAGAAGAAAATAAGAGACAAACTATCTTATTTATGTTCTTAATATGAGAGGTAAGAACATGTCTAGGTACCAGGCTAGAAAGTGGGAAACTGTGAGTTCAAGTCCCTTAGACATGAAAGCCAGTTGGTTAACTTTGGGTCTCTCTCTCTCTCTCTCCCCCTCCCTCCCTCCCTCCCTCCAATCCATCTCGCAGGATTGTTGTTGTAGGGAACATAGGAGGAGGAAGTTTGTTGGATATGTTCGCTGCCTTCAGTTATTTATAAAATCTATTTGGGAATTTGTAAAACTACCAGTAAAAAAGTGGGCATTTGACAATTTTGTGAAATTAATAATATTATTATATACATAGGTTAACTTTTACAAACAGAATGTTAGAACATGTTCACACATCACCAGGTGAGAAATCTCTGAGAATAGGATTCCAATATATTCTTTCAACTGGTATTTATCATTTCTACATTTCCTCTTTTGAAATCATTGCTTTGTTAAAATCACTGACATAATTACCTTAATATTGCAATTCTCAGTGTGGCATTATTAGGAAACTGCATAAAAATAGCCCAGAACATTTAAACGATAATAGAAAGTATTACAGAGAAATTACAAAAAATAAAATGACCATTTAAGTGGAGCTGTATAATAAAAAACTACCATTTGCTTCTTCTGATACATGAATGAAAACTACTTCCCCAAGATCCAAAATCAGTCCTGACAGATCATGTACTCTTCTCAGTGTGATAGCCTACAGTTATAAGAAACATAGAATTTTGCAGATTTCTCTCTGCATCTGGAATGAGGGGAATTCATAATGTAAGAACATGTTCTTTATTGAATTACCAGCATTTTTGCACTGAAGTATTGCAACATCCTAAAATTTTTCATATGAATCCACTGTCCGTCAGAATAATGAGAAGACAAAAAACCACCAGATTTTAATTACTAATTCCTTTGTATGATATAAATAATTCAGTGAATGAAGATAACCTGAGCAAAGAATGTAAGAAAACATTAGATATCAGAGAAGTGTTGGTTCACATCTGTGAGGCAAAAACAAATCTTGTGCAGTATATTTAACAGCAACCTAATCAAAAATAGAGAAGTTGGAGGTGGTTCCAATAAGTGCTGTCTCCTGTTGGTACTGAATTTATGAGAAAAATATAGGAAGGAGAGATCTTTGAGGTAATACACAATTCCAGACTTTACTCCTTATGAGTAGACTGCAAGTAAACGGAGTTGAGTTTTGAGTTGAGTGGCTGGGAGTTGAGGGATACCATAAAACTCATATTTGTAATGCAGACTTTCAAGAGATAAAGCATGGCCAAGTCTAATTTCCTCAATACTTTCTGAAATTTTTTTTAAAAGCTCTATTGTAAATATTAATACACTTTACATTAGCAATGTTTTATTGTATTCATCAGGTGAATTGCTTTTTCCTTGGAAAAGGGGTTTTATTTTATTTTTTAAAACAAGTTTTATTAATTTTTAAAAACAATACACAAGCAAAACGTAGAATATAATAAGACATCTTTTCTGAAAAACAAATAAAACTTCTTATTTAAAGACAGGATAGTTCCAAATTATCACATTTCCATACAAGCACAATTTAATATGTATATTTATCTTATCTTTTCAATGTCATATCTTTTCCCAACTTCTCTTTATTTCTCCCTTTCCTTCTATTCAATTATATTTCTTTTGCCTTGGATTGTATATATTCATTGTATCTATCTGTCTTATTTACAATTTCTCTTCCAACATTCTTCTAGTTTTATTAATTCAAACACAGACAAACAAAACACAAAACATAAATACATAAAACTTATTTTTGGAAAGCGGCTTACCCCGGGTTACATCGTTTTGTACAGACATAGATTCATGCTCACTTAATATACTATTTCGTATCTTATTTAACATTCTATATTTTCTATATATTTTCTCTCTTCTATTCACTCTCTTAATTCCATTTTATCTATTTCATCTCAGTTTAGATAATTATACTTACATCTTTTGTCCGTTCTCTTTCAATTATCTATTTATCTTTTCTTTCTAATACAATATTTCTCCTGTAATCACTGGTTGAAGTATGACAACTTTTTATCTTTCCCCTAAACTTAACACTTAAAATAATACATACTTTGCATACTGATTCTGCTTAGTACATTCTAAGTAGTACATTTTAGAATAATAAAACAAAAAAAGAGAATTAAGTTTATAATATAGTAAAAACAATATTCCATAGGAAGTTAAACTCTACTGTTAAATCTTAAACATTTTTATACATTCCCTTTAATGCATTATTAACTTATATAATATTTCAGTTTTCTAACTCAATTTCAAATACTAATATCTACAATACAGTCTTATGTACTTTTGCAGGATCATTTTTTAAAATTATATTTTACCTTTTGTCTCTGAAAAAAAACTGTTTTTTAACATCTTGTTTTAAACCTTTATGACTTCTCTTTCCTTTTTCCCTTCCTTTCTTATCAATTCTAGCCTTCTCCCCCTCCCATCTCTCAAACTCCACTCTCTTAATCTTCCCTCTCTGTTGTATTTCTCTTTTCTGTTGCTTTCTGACATTGTATCGATTTTTCATCTTATTTTTCCCTTTCTTGGTTGCTTTTTTAAGTTCTGAGTTCTCCATTTTCTTTCCCCCCTTTCTCTTTTCTTCCTCAACTAAGATCATCTGTCCATTAAAGATGGCTTCTTCTTCTTCATCCCAGCTCTCTTGTTGTCGTATTTCTTGGTAGGTAGAAATCGCCATTTCTAAAAAGTGAAAAATAGATCCAGAAGAGCCCTTGTCTTCTTGTTCCTCTTCTCTTAGCTTTTGAAATTCCATTTGCAATTCTTCAACAGATAATGCCATTTTTTAAAAAGAATAACCCAAATGTTTTTAATCTTTCAAGAAATAGTTCCCCAAAATCCCAGAGTCACAAAGCAATCCAAATCAGAAAAACCTGTTTCATTTAGCACCTTCTTCTTTTTATATTTTCTCTTCCTGGGATAGAATTCAATTACACAGTTCCAAAGTAATTTTTTAGAAGTCTTATTGCCATTTATTTCTGGTCTTATAAACTCCAAGCAGTCTCCTTCAGTACAATCTTAAAATAAGTTCTTTACCTCTTCCCTCCCACTAATAGCAAAAAAAAAAATAGTTTTTAATTCCAATGTTCAGAAATCTTTTATCCCCTTGGCTTTAAATTTCAAGTTTAGTTACCTTCTGTGCCCAAGCAGGTTTTTCAGATTTCCATCTGCTATTTCCATGGGGAGGGAGAGTGAGAAAAAATAACTTTCCCTTTCAATTTTCGTCTGCCACTTTTACAGTCTTCTTGGGAAACAATGTATCATTCAAGCGATTAAATTTCCAGGGTGTTTAAAAATTCCTTGTTGTCCCGGTTCAGCCAAAAACTTTCACTTTTTCCAACTTCCTCCTGCATAATCTTACCCGGCTTCAGGCTTCTTTGTGGCGGCCATTGCTGACCGCTGCTCCACCGCCTTGGAAAAAAGGAGTTTAGCCAGCTGAGGAGGGGGTTTGCGATATCCCCAAGCTCCTACCCAGATCTCCTCTATCTTCGGTTACCTCTATGGGGCAACCATATCCTCTAGATCCAGCTGGATTGGAGGCACTTTGGCAGCGAGTGCAGCAGGAACCGTGCACGATCGCGGATTCCTGCCACCGCCGAAGCCTTGCAAACCGGAAAAGGGGTTTTAGATATGATTTTAAGACTTCTGGAAAATATTATATTTTGAATTAAACAGTAAAAGGATGCTTAGAATATGGATTGTAGAAAGTTAACAATAGATCAAGTATTCCGATAGAATTAGAATTATAGTTTTGAATTAATTAGAAGAATGCAAAAAGGTGATTGGGATTTTTTAAAAGGGAAATATGGTAATGGGACCTGGAAAATCTGGCATTAAAGGGAGCTTAAGGACAATAAATTTATTTCATTAAGAAAGAATGAAGCTCAATCTCTTATGAATGTTTTTGCATTTTGATGTTCAAAATTACTTGGCGTGATAGATCTTGCATCAAAAAGTTATAAAAGAAGAAGTGAAGTCCTGAAGAGAAGTAATAATAAAAAGACTATTTTTACTTATTGGATGTATAATGGATAGGAAGCAAGTTCTGGGGCTATATTTGAGGGGGTAAAAATTAACATTGTTAAAATTTTAGGGAAGGAACTTTACTGGACTGTTGCTGAAAAAGGACAAATGATGAGGCTTTTCTACACTTTTGTTCCTTTTTAATATTTTTTTTCTTTTTATGTTCCTATATTTTTATAGTTTGTATTAATTTGCATTTTTTCTATCTGTAATTCTTAATTAAATTTTTTTAAAAAGAAATAGAGAAGTTGGCATTGAATCTCTAGGAACTAGGTGGTGAATCTGATACTAGAATGCTTTTCTAGACCTTGACTGAGTACGATATTTTCCCCTAATTATGACTGGGTAATTGCGAACTCTTAGGGTTGAAAAGCCTCTTCTAGAAACATATGGTAGTAGCACCCTTGAAATAACACAATGATTAATATAATCCTTCATAAATTTCTTAAGGATTAATCTTGTCAGACCTAGTGCATGTCATTTTTGTCAATTGGTAGAATGCTGTGGTTATTATAAATCCTGATTTCAACAAAATATTGGGCAAAGTAATTCATGATATTCCAATTAGCAAGCTCATTAACTTGGCAGTAGATCTATGGTTAACTCAGCCTTACATCCTTCCGATGTCTGTAAAATGAGGACCCAGATTGTTGGGGGCAATATGCTAACATTGTAAACTAATTAGAGAGTGCTATAAATCACTATGAAGCGGTATATAAATCTAAGCCCTATTGCTGTTGCTATTAGGCCAATTCATAACTGGATTAACAACCATATTCTCAAAATATTCATCAATAGTTCCAACTATAAATACCAAGTTCTTCATTTGAAAACAGAAATCAAATATACAGAAATAGAATGAAATGGGGAACACTTAGCTTGATAAGGTATGTGCACAAAGGTTCTCAAAATTGTATTGATGAAGCTGAATGGAAGTCAGCAAAGGGATTTATCTGCTAAAATAGCAGATGAAATTTTAAGCCACATCAACAGAAAAAGCATTTCCAAATTAAAAAAAAAAGTAATAGTTCTACTCAATTTTGCATTGCTTGAATCCACTGTATCTAGTTTGGGCACTTTCTCCATTTAAGAAAGATTCAGAGAAAATGCAAAAAAGATTATAGAACAAAACAAAAAGATTTAGGGAATTGGAAATTAATTCTTGACATGAAGAGAACTATGTAAGTTTAGTGTGGAGAAAAAATGACTTGGGGAGATGTCTTAGCCCTTTTGTACTACCTGAAGGTTTCACATTGAAAAAGATCAAGACTTGTTCTCTGTTGATCTGAATGAAAGGGACAGAATAAGTATCCCGTCAGTGTTAATTCACTGCATATAACTCCTAGTCAGGAAGATATAAAGAAAAGTAAACTGGCCTAAGTTAGCTATCCATCTAAGAGTGATACTGTTTTCTTCTTGTAAATGAGATCATACATTTTTTGCCTTTCTTCTCTTGTTTTCTGTTCTTTGTGAGCAGTTCAATTAACTTGGCTCCAGCAGATCATATGGTCTCCATTCATCAAGCAGATCGGAAGATTTTACTCTTTAACTGGTTTGCTTTGACAGAGCAAATACCATTTCAAGTTTAAAGAGAAATGGATAAAGAAATTCCATTTTGCTTGAACAGAAGTACCCATTGATGCAAAATCACTAATGAAACCAATTCTTAGCATTCTCAAGCTTCCTGCTGTCTTTCATTATATAATTATGATATCATTACTATAAGACCAAAATTATTGTGCTTTGCTGTCACAAAGAGATTCCATGCCAATTGTACTTCAAGATTCCATGCCTCCTTGACATAAGTAGACTTTATTGTAAAGCCTGTGAATTTAGTAGCAAGTCTTTGACAGGGTTTATGTATCTGCTTATGGCTGATTATGGCATGTGTACAATCATATTAACAAAAAAATATTATGATCAAAGATCAGCATCACATGTACATAATGACAATAACATCAGCAAACTGATCAAGGCACATTGTTGCTACATACCTTTCTGTTTCTGATGCAGAGCTTTTTCTAATCTGTTTTTGGGTGCTATTTCTTTCCACCTTTCTGGGATGCCTGTAAATGAGATGCCAAAAAAAATGAAAAAGAGAAGCAAGCAAAATAGAAAATCACAAAGATTTAGCTTGATTTCTTGCAAATGGAAACATGAAAACTAGGTTTTCTGAATGGGTAGTAATAATGGACTTTGGAGAAAATGCCATCTTCACCCATTACTTTAATTCAGTTTCTTGGTGTAGGTAATGCTAACCAAGTCAAATATTTCTCAAGTGCTAAGCAATTCTAAAAGTGATGCTATGGAAAACTTTCATTACTGGTTAAAATCCAACAATAAGGATCTGGTAGAGAAGCAAAATTCTCCTGGGTTAATATCCAAAAAGATGCTCTTGTATTATACTTGTATGCAGTATAAAAGAAAAGTAGCTCAATTTAACTATGATAATAAAAACATTGCTAATAAACTTGGGCAGATATATATGATTTATATATGAATTATATACAGGTAAGTTATAGAAAATACATTTGCATGTGGTAATTGTAAGACCTATTATATATTTTGGCTATAGTTTATACAACTAAACAATAAGAATGTATGAATGTTACATTTAGTTGTTAAATTTAAATAGAGTCAAGCCATCTGATCATAATCCAGCTGTGTTCTTGCTATATTAAACTGAACATCTCATGCCCTATGGCTGTTTTTAAGAAATGCTAAATTATAGACAGGCTGATTTCAGAATCTGAAAAAAGAAAATAAAAGAAATAAAAAATGGGAGCTGCTTCTGTTGAGCTGTTTAAAAGTATTGCACCCTATGTATTTTTCACTGACTCCTGGTATTCAGAGCAACATAGTTTTGTGATAACCTTGACATGAAAGCCAAAAACAAATTAGGTGAAAACATTTTTATTCTTAAATCACAATAAAAAGTATCCAAGCCTGCAATCCACTATCAGCAGGGTCTTGGGGAAAAAAATTAGAGGGGTTTGATCTATTGTGTGATCAAAGGAGCATCAACTGAAGAGCTGGCTAATTGAGATTTTCTATATGCGTTCAAAGAAAGGCCTAAATTACAGTAACAAATTACAGTAAAAGAGGCCAACTATTAACTTTGGTTTTCATTCCACAGTCTAGTTCCAAGAGTCATAATGCAGGTTTCAGAATCTTGAAACGTAATATTTCTCTTCAGAATTTCAATACAGCAAATCAGAGAGTTTGGGATCTAAGATGATGCATCCCTTGGAATTTCACAGTGAGGTGATTGTGCCCTCTCACTGATAGGCATGCTCCTTGGGGTAACATGTCCTCACTCTCACTTCATTTTCTGTTACATTTCATTGGTCTTCTTGATGTCTTTGGCCTAAACTTTTTAATGATTCTGTTGCCTGTTGCATTGTTTGATGGTTTTTCATACATGAAACCTTCCTTGAAAGATCTGTAGATATTGTTTAGCTGTGCTATCTACTATACATTTTTCTATTTCTTTTATATCTGCAGGAGGTTTTTTTGGCAGTGTAAATGACCTTCTCACGCCTTCTGTTATACACTGTTAATAGAAGAGCATCTCATATATAATAGTTTTATGTATTTTTATGGTAAACTAAAAGCAACTATGGTCCATAAACTCCCAGCATCCTTTAAAGATTTGGTCAAAGGGCAAATCTTAAATAATCTGCTGACCTGATCAGAAAGGGAGTCCAATAAAAAAATGAAGATATTTAAGTCACTTAATGAAACACACACACAGAGCAAACATACTTTACGTAGAATATTCTTCAAGGATGTAGAAAATAACAATATAACATAGCACAGTTAGGTTATAAACTAAGATTTTAGTATTTAATTTCATGTATTGTACATGTGGAGCTGCAAGACAACTTTAGCAAGGATACCTCTGTATTTCTTCTGGATTAGCACTTAGGAGGTTTAAACTGTCTTGTTTTGGATTGTAAGACTCCGGCAGTGTTGTTCTTCACAAGTTTTGGAAACATGGAAGTGAAAGTTGAACAGAATGGATAGAAACAGACAGAAACAGAGAGATGGTCACATGCAGTGAAGATGGAGACATGCAATCAAGATATTTATATGACAAGAGCATTCCGCCAGCAACATTTTTATGTTCTCCTTTTCAGTGTTTTAAGGAGGATTTTTTTTAAAAAAGAAAGTGATGTAATAACTGCTACAAAATAAAATGGAAGCCAATAATAAACACTAAAGACAAACATATTCTCAGCAATAACACCAAAGAATATGCATAAATTCAGAAGTAATTTGGAAAAGGCCATTTGGAGTGCTGAGAGTTATGAATTTAGCATCAATATGCATTTTGTTAAATGTATACATTCTGATCCTGAGAAGAGACATAGCAGCTTTAAAAACTGCAGAAAGGTGTCTCAGTCAAACTAATACACATTCCAAACAAACTTTTCCAAATTATTTCCAAAACTTTACATAATAAACTGACATCTCTCCATCCCTGTCAGAAAATGCTTCTCAAGAGCTGCACATGTGCGTATTTTTCTGAGTAGCTTTTAAAAATCTGTGCACTTGTTCTGGTAGCATTTCTGATTTTCTCTTATACTGCATCAAAAAAATTTTTTAGCAATACAAATTTAATAAAAACAATAGTGTGCATTTATTTTGCAGAGGAGAGCAAAGGTTAGTTTACAATTTGCAAGAAAGTACTGAGCATTTTTTTCATAGTTATTCTAGGCTGAGATACATATTCTAAGTTGTTATATACACACACACACGGTACAAATTCTAACAATGGACCCCAATGCTTCTTTTGTAGATCAACAGCTGAAAAGAAAACATTCTTGAAATTTGGATTGAAGTATGGATGTTTACTTTCTATACAGATTCTTATAAGCAAATATTTTTCAACTGTTACAAAAACCCTGGTTGTTTCACAATAGGATTATAGCATGTAAAAAAAGTTCTCATTCAATATCTAAGGAGAAACTTAGCTCCATTTCTCTACCTAATTGTTTAACTAGGGGCACAGCTAGTATTTTTCTACCTGACAGTGTGATAACTAGGCCAATATCAGAACCAAACAGATTTAAATTTTTGGTTTGGGTTTTTAAACTCTGCCACATATACACAGCCTATTAATTTTATCTGGCTTTGTTTCTCAAAAAATAACTAAAATTTTGATGCTTTGACATTGATGAAAAGCTTGAAAAAGATGGTTAACTTTGGCAAGAATGAGTGAACACCAAAATTTCCACAAAAATTATTTTATCTGTAACACAAATCCTGTCCACTTCTACATTAACCATTTTTAATAAGAAAAGAGACCTTCTTAGGATTAAAAAAATAGTATTTGACATTTCAATACCTGCAGTATTTTGATAATGAAAATATTCCAGGGATTAATTTGTAACAGTAGAGACTTTGTGTTTTCAATTCAGGTAGACTTTATTTAAATGTAATTTTATTAAATAATACTTGTGTATAAAAGAACTGCCTTGCTGATGTTTCATGGAAAGTTAAACAAACAAAGGCTTACTACAATTAATAATACCCAGAAACCAAGATACATAATGAATAGATTTTCTGGGAATTGCAATCTCAAATGCATCTGGAAAGGATTACATCACTCTTTCATGCAACAAGACTTTCCTTTGCTCTTCTTCTTGCATATAAATACAAATCTGTTTCTGAGAATCCTCAAAGCATTTAGAGCATTGTTATTAGCACAAGTATGTGCTGATGTTAGAGTTGTAAATGCTATCACTTATAATGTGAACCATCAAATTTGGGCTATCACTTTTTGCGGCAAAAAGAGAAAAGAGTGTTTCTTTTCTGCTGTTTAATATTAATGTGGATTTTTGCAGCCATAATTCTACTTATAATCCAGAATAAGATATTGAGAAGAGTTGAAAATATATTATCTGAATGTCTAAGTTGGCAGCCCAATTAAAAAAGCAATTTGTTTTAAGGGACAACATATGAAAAAAAAAGTTTATTATCCAAGAATGATGCAGCATTAAGATTCAAAGAATAAAATCATAATACAACAACAATAAACCAATAGATGATATTTACATATATCACATTTGGCCAATCAGCATATAAAGAGAAATCCAAAGCACTGGATTTAGCAGTTGACTTGTTCAGAATGTCAGCCACCAAAAAATTTATAAAGAAAAAAAATTATAAATATGCTGTTACACAAACTCACAGTTGTGAATTGAATAATGAGCCATAAAGATAGGGTATAATTTGGCCTGATGTTAGGAAACCTTAAATCATTTATTTCATTGAGGTGCAACATGCCAAACTTTCCAGAGCTATGATACCTTGTAGAAAGAGGCGGAATTCCATATATTACAATGTAATACTAGAGGTTTTTACACAGATGTTTACTAAACTAGTTTATTCCCAATAAGTTGTTCTGTAGAGTAGCTTATGGGATCAGCTTTATATCTAATTATTGGGGAACAAACCTCATAGAATTCAGCGGAACTAAGATATGCATGAGATTTTTCTTTCAATGTATTATAAAGCACAAAATTAAAGTATCATGGAAGTGATGCTCTTGCTACAAAATAGGACGAAGAATCATAAGAGATTAAAGACAAGGGAGCAAAATTTGCTCTACTACAGAGCTCAAATACCTGTTTTTTATGTTTAGTCTCAAAATCTAAAGGAAATGCTTTATAATCATTGAATGAAGTTCAAGGATAACCTTTCATAAAGTTGCAAATGTGGGTTCCTGGAAACTGAAACTAACCACATGCTGTTCCTACTTGATGTGCATGATTAAGCAATCTACTTTTCAGCTAGGAGGAACTGACTAGTACCTGTCATCCTCCAGAGATGCATGTTGGATATGAATCCGGGGACTAGTGGGTCTTCTATCTAGTGAGGGGGACCATCTACTTCTGTTTGTTCATTGAATAAAATAGGAAGAAAAACAGAACATTTAGTGAACGTCATTTTTTAAAAATGCAAAAAACCCCTGCAAAGTACCTCAAGAAAAATCAGTGTCTGTTTTGTCTAAATCATGTTCAACCTACAGAAATTTTCTCTGAATTTATATTAATCTGAG